GAAAATAGCCAAGGCGTCTAGCTTCTCTTTTCTGATATTCTTGCTTCTTAAGTACAAATGTTAATTGGGCGCGGACGGTGATAGTATAAAACCGAAAGCGCAGCTAGTAAACAAAAGACAACGAAAAGAGCAGTTAACGGATTGTGGCAAATTCTGTAGATTTATTGCTCTAAGAAACGCATGGTTTGTATCAAAATAGCACCTATCTGATACAGTATGTATATAAAAGCATGAAACGAAAATTGTGAAAAGTTTTATTAGTATATGTGTGTTGAGTTTGGAATCCCCCCCCCCTTGGAAAGGCTGGCTACGCCCCTGTCATTCACGCACGGACTCGGGGCATTTTAGTAGGACGATGGGCGCTTGACTGGGTGTCCAGCAAAGCTACATTTAGCTGCATGGTAGCGCCCTCTGTGGGCAAAACGATGCATGATGCGACCGAAGAGAAAGCAGTTCTAGATAATCGGGAGACGGTATATAATTATATAGTAACATCAATTAGGTTGAAGAGGTAAGAAAGTTACAGAATAGACAGAAAAGAGGAATGGGCTAAAGGGATATAGAATAAGCAAATGGATAGATGTGTGTGAATGGGAAGCAGAGAAGTGTAATGTGGGGTATGAAGTTACTGAATGCATGGTAAGAAAGTTGAACACTGCAGATATTCGTTACTCTTCTACTACCATGCACCCTTCCACCATACTCTTCATTCTCTTCCATCTATTTCCCTCACTACTTCTCTCTAATCTCCTCTCATTCGCCGACTTATTCTCTACTCGCCGATTCTACTTGACTGTCATTTACCTGCTATATTGGCTTGTTTCTCTAGAACTTTTCAAATTGAACCCGTTCCCGTCTCCTTCTACATTAAATTGTTCTTGTCACTCTCTCAGTTACGTCCCCTCCCTTCTTTATACCCCTACAAATATTTAACTTTCAACGGTCTTCCTTCTTGTAATGACTGCGCATGAGAATGGAGAGAATAGGAATGTTCTAAAATATAAGAACACAGAATATTAACAAGAAATCATCAAACGGCATCGTTGCTAAAAACTATCGCCCACCCTTTGCCTGTATAGACCAAATTTAATGTGTTTAGGTCTTGCGCCCTACATTTATTTTTCTATAGGCCATTACTCATAGCAGGAAATTATGGAAAAAGGCTGATGTCTTAATTTGTTCAAGCCTAGTAGTATATAGTGCAGGAGGTTAGTATTGACCCGTGCTTTGATTGTCTGACGCTTTTCGCACGTGAATTGGTGAGAATTTGGAATTCGGTTCAAGAAGAGTAGTTCATATATATTCGGGTCGCGCGGTTCGTATATAAGCCGTGATTCGCATAAATAAGGGAGCATTTAATCGTTGTCGCATGCTCGAAAACTTCTCCCTCAAGGTCACGCCTGTATCTGATACATATGATATGATCCTGATATGAGCATCGTACTCTGAATCCGACATTGGCGCCGACATTTCTCCGTAATCGTACTCGTAAGTAATTTTCTATCCGAGCAGACCCCACGCAGCGTCCGTGACCGAGAGCGGTGAGTGAGCGATCCGTGAGCGGTCGAGAGACCGCGGCTATGCACACATAGCGAAGAAACACACGGGCAGAGCTGACAATGCATACGATATAACCAGGAGTCTATCAATTGATAGACTCCTGATATAACGTACGTACCTGGGATGGGACAGTACTGCCTAGTCTGCGTGTTATCGCGTACCATATGCCATCGTTACTATGTTAGTTATATGACGTTAGACGTACGTGTACAATCTTTCGTTGATTTCACAAGTTGACGAAACCACATCTATTTAAACGTATATTTGCCTGGAGCGTAACTCAACGGAGAAATTCGTGTTTTTTTCAAAACTGTTCACTGCATTCATGCGTTGCTGCTACGATGACTCAACGATTCCTCGTGGTCACACGCTGCTATCAAAAATATAATTCGATGCGTTACGTGTAAATACGTATACAATAATGCCTACATCCGTGTGCGTAGCATAGAGCTATAATTATGGCTGCCATACACATGCATAGTACTTACTTGCTCCAACGGTGTATACTTGCTGTGAGACTCCAAGTGAAAATCAGAATATCACTACCATCGCCTGTATAAAATCATACGGCATGTGCCGTAAAACAAATAAGCACTACTGGAATAACACGTTTTCGCGAGTGCTCGGTCGCGATCTCCGGACTGCATATGCGAACAACGTTCCCTGAGCCAGCTAGACGGCGGGTCACTGGAAGTTCATGATCAATGCACTAAAAACTCACTTGCAGCGTGATCTACAAGCGTTCCACTGCCGAGGCACCTACTTTTGCCGTGTTTATTATCCATGGAGAGCCGCGCATCGTGCACGTGCAATTCACCCTCTCTTTCACACACACACACGCGCGCGCGCGCGTACAGCACCCCCCCCTCCCACCCCACCCACTCACACACACGCACGCACGCACACACAAATATATATATATATATACACACACGAATTTCGTATACATGGAGAGAGAAACAACTCGGAGAATATTTCTTCCAATCTGTCTCTATATAGGCCCAACTTCTCTGCGGTGTACAGACAAAGCAACCGGTCAGGTTAACTCATAAAGCTGGGTAATAATCCTCGACAGTTTATGGTATTAATTCCTACCCTCTGGGTTGTTTAAGGCCACCGCACACCAGCCGATTTTTACAAACGATGAAGCGATGAAGCGATGAAGGCGATGGAAGGGATGAAAGGCGATGATAGCGATGAAGCCGATTGAAGCGATGTAGGTTGCTGGGGGCGGGCTGGAATATGCGAGCTTGACGAATAAAAATACAATTGCGGTCAACGCGACATCAAGCGCATCAATGCGATTGAGTGTGCGAAAATCCTTTACACAGCCACTCGCACACTGCTGTTCAATTTCCAAGTCACGCCCACCACAAAATCGCGCTCCAAATATATCGGTTCAAAATCAAACATGTTTCGATTTTGGAACGATCACCCCGATAAAATAAACTCGTCTCAAATGATACGCGCACACGCTGAATCGTTCTTCAATCGTTTCATCGCTTTCCACCGCTTTCATCGCTTCATTGTTGTCAAAAATCGGGCTGGTTGCGGTGTGCCTTAGATGTAACCCAGTGCTTCAATTCTTCTCTGACAAATAGTTACCAACCCACACCGCGCGCGCATTCTTTTATACACGCTCCAATGCATATTATGCACACATGCATGCATGCACGCCCGTATGCGCTCATGCACACATGCACGCTTGTGCACGCAAGAGCTTCGGCATTAACCCTGCATAGCAGCCGGTTCAATTCTTGTTTGTGTACCATTATAATTAGTTTATGGAGTTTTCTATTTTAGAAGCATGTGAGCGGAGGTGGCTTGCACCGGCTGTACGAGCACATTATCCACTACATTATTCCATGCAGATTCGATGATAGAATAAAACCATTAAAATGATCGATGAACTATACTAGTTAGCTAGGTTTATCTTGTCATCTATCATATATTTTTAAAACTCGGTAAAACTAGAAAAGGCCTCAGTTAAACCTGGTTTAGCGGCTACCCTTCTGTAACAAAAACGGGGGCAAAAGCCCCCTCTACCCACCCCACTAGGGCTGAGAGGGTCTATGTCCCCCATGGTACTGCCGGAACGTACCCTGCATGGGTACGGTCCGGTATACCGGAACATATCCTGGTACTATCTAATATGCCGGACCGCACCTCGCCTACTCCACTAACGAGTCTAGGGAGTCGCCTACGCCTACTCCCTAACCCAAACTCTAACCCTAACCCTAACCCTAACTATATCAAATAGTGACCAGGGTACGTTCCGGTAGTACCCTGGGGGACATAAACCCTATGAGCCCCACGAGGTACGGCCCTCTATGAATAATGTTATAACCATTATACACGAATATAGTGAGTATACTCGTAAGAAGTTATATATGTAAAATGTTGATCCAAAGGCTCACTTCGCTTTAGATTCATTTCGGTTTCTGTTTCTTACTCTTAGAATCAGATAATTTTAATACAGTTCAAGTTGGGAATCAAAATTACACGTGCAGAGATTCCATTTCAAAGCTTCAATCTAGACTTAATTACTACTACTAGTACTAGACCAATAAATTAGTCTAAAATTATAGTAGAGCCGTCATTGCTACCAGAGAACAGAAAATCGAATAATTCTAGCTGAGCGTGACGAAATGAAGCAAGTGGATCTGAATCAGATTATAGTGTGACGAAAAACTATGAATATTTAAAATGTTTGAATTATTTTTCTTCATGGCAATAAATAATAAAATATAGTCCTTTTCAAAGATAATTTACAAAAACCTTTCTTTAAATTTTTATAGAACGGCCATCAAAAGATTCTCTACATCCAGATTATCTCCCATCAATTTTCCCCCACCGACCCAACAGTCAACACAGCAGAACACAGTTTAAAAAGATACAAGCGTCACGACTCACAAGGACACCGACTTGAAGAGAACATGCACCAAACGTTGAGTTTGAGGATCCTGAAGGGCTCGTTGTCATCGAGGATTTTGTTCCTCTCGAAGAAACCTCCTCCATTCCTACTCAGACAGGATATATATATACGGATAGAATTTTACTGTTGTTTGTATTACATGGGAGGGTGATGACTTGTACATAATGACGGCTTGTAAATGACGACTTTGGCGGGGGTATTCATATGAATTTATCATTAGAGAAAATGTGGACTTTGACTTCCATGACGACTTAAGCGAATTGACGTGTTAGACGATGGCATCTTATGCGAGTTTTACTGTATTTAAAGAAGAACTCGTATCCTGAATGAAGTTTTATTTCACTAGAAAATGTAAGCGACACGCTGAAACAAATGAAAGGGAACTAATGTAAATACAGTATAACGATAACTGTCAGAATTCTTTCTCTCCGTTAATATAACTAAATGAACAATATCATAACTGTACATCCCCCCCCCCCCAGTTCGAGGGGGCAATGCCGCGAACTCAAGAAGAAATCCAGCGGCCGGTCTCTGGTTCATAGACGCGAGGCTGGCGAATCGCACGGCAAGGGCGCAGTGATGGCGTGGGAGGCGAAGCAATGCTGAGTGGCGGCGGCTGCCCATGTGGAGGCAATGCAGGGGCCAGGGTAGGCAGCGACAGAGTGGCTGCTGGGAGATCGTCATCTGTCGGCCTTTTATGCGGCGCTGAAGGACTCGGCGGCGCAACACAAGGCGTGTCCGTGCATGGATCGCGTGGGGCAGCGTATGGAAGACCAGGACGAGGCAGGGCAGCATCTGGTGGTTTGAGAGCTGGTGGTGCCAGCGACGGCATAGATGGTCCTGTATGGGCCCGTTCCTGGATCTCGGTAGAAGCCGGAACAAATGCTCGGAGGAACTTCCGGTTCCGTGTGGTGAGGTGCCCGAACCCGTCCACTTTAATGCGGTATTGGTCGTGGCCAAGAGTCTCGACGACCGTGCCGGTGCGGTCCCATCGCTTTGGCGAGTTCCCCACTTGATTCTGGATGAAGCACCTGTCGCCGTCATGTATGGGACGCAGGGGGCGCACATGCTCATTCAGGCTCTCAGACGACTTCACAAATCTCGCTCGTAGCGCGACCTCCTTCGAGTGCCATGCCTCTTGCCATTCCGGGTGGACAAAAGGGTTCGAGTACTTCTCCTGGCGGTTCACAAAAGAGAATGAGTTACGCAGCTGTTTCCCAAAGACGATCTGGGCCGGTGAAACGTTGCAGTCCGGATCCGGGGTGTTGCGGAGCTGCAGCAGCGCACATAGCAACCTGTCATTGTCTAACACGCCTGTCGGACCAACATTTGACCGTAGGAGACGCTTTGCTGACTTCACGGCCACTTCCGCCCGCCCATTCGACTGAGGGTGCTGAGCGGATGAGACTCGGTGGCTGATGCCCCAGCGATAGAGGAAGTCGCGAGTGGCGCTGGCGGTGAATTCCGGCCCTCCGTCGCTGGATAACTCCTCCGGCACCCCAAATGTTGCAAAGAATGTGCAAAGACTTGCAATGAGGCCCATAGCTCCTGCCCGGGGCGATCCCACCGGGGACGCAAAAATTTCGACCCATCCAGAGAAGCGGTCTCCCACCACGAGGTAATGGTGCCCACCGAAATTGAGGAAATCTGCAAACACAGCTTCAAACGGTGTGGATGGTGGTGTTGCCGGCATGGACGGAAGAGGTGCTTGGGAAGGAGCATTCTTGTTGCACTCATCGCATTCCGCACGGATTTTGTAAATATCGGCAGTGATGCCAGGCCAGAAGATCATGGCTCGTGCGCGAAGTTCCATGGACGACACGCCCTGGTGAGCTGCATGCAAGTTCTCCAGCACGGAACGGCGGAGTGATGGCGGCACAACAACACGATCCTCATACACAACGACGTTGTCTAGGACGTAGAGGCCGTCACGTTATTGCCAATAGGGCGCAACGTGTGGGAGGAGGTGGTCACTCTCCTGGAATCCATTCTCAATTGCACGGCGAAGGGCGGATATAGAATCGTCTTTCTCGGACTCGATGGCAATGTGCTCCAAGAGATAGAGGACAGTTCCTCAGTTTCACGCCGGATTGCCGCTGAGATCGCTGGCTCAACCACGATACTTGCCATCTCGCTGGATGGGGATGGATGACGAGATGTCGCGTCGGCCGCGAAGTTCGTCTTGCCAGGTAGGTGGGCGATACGGAAGTGCCAAGGGAGGGTTCTCTGCTTTAGTCGGAACAGACGTGTGTTCGAGATCTCGTCGAGGGTTCGGTCTCCCAGGATTTTTACCAAGGGTTTGTGGTCCATAACCACAACCAGGTCGTTGCACCCCTGGATGAAGTAGCGGGTCTGCTCAAGACCCCAGGCAACAGCCAGTGCCTCGCCCTCGATGGGTGCGTACCGTTGCTCACAAAAGGACAGGAAGCGCGACCCTGCCAGCGTAATTCGCCATCCGTCTATGCAGCAGTCCGGCAGCCCTAATGTGCACATGCAGTGTTGCTGGAGCAGGAAATATCCGATCCCTCGAGTAAACCAGTCAGGGCGGAGGCAAGTGTGCTTCCCAGTGTCGAAAATCTCAATGCCACTTCGTATCGCCTGTACAATTGCTCCCTTTGAGGTGGTGAAGGCCGCATCCAACTCAAGCGTCCAGCAGAATTTCTGTTTCGGGCTCAGGAAGGGGTTGAATGGCGCCATGACATCTCGAAGCTGTGCGTAGTTGGCGACCTGGTTGACAAGGCCGAACCAGCTGTGGATGTCAGTCGTCGAGGTCGGCGTCGGGAAGTGGCGAATGGCGTCCAGGTATTTGGGTAGCGGTTCAATTGAGTCATCAGAAATGTGAAAGCCAGCAAAGTCAGCCTCCCGCCCGGCAAACTGGAACTTGTCTGGGTTCAAGATGACACCGGCGGCACCGAGTGTCGCGAGGAGGTCTATGGTCCTGCGAGCCGGAGCGGCCGTGTGACACGTGCGTGGTTGTGCGTCGGGTTCTAGGTAAATCTCTACTGGTGGGCCGGCCATGCACGGGAGTGGCCGATGAGGGCATGTGTTGAAAGTTGATGCAGCGTAGCGGTCGAGAAGCCATTGCTTCATCTTCTCGTTGTCCTCTGGTTTGCAGGGGAACGGTAAGGTTGCCGGGCGTTGAGGTACCGCACTGCGCTGAGGGCAACTGCATGTGATGCTCTCATCGTGTTGTGCACTGCAGCCAGCGTTGAGGGCACGGGTTGGGTTGACAGAGGGAGACATTGCCGCAGATTGCGCATCCCCTGAGCCCGACCGAGCGCCACCAACCGACGGAAAGCTCCTGTTAATGATTTCTAGATCCAGCATGGTCTCGTAGGATAGATAGAGATCAGTTACATCTTGGCTGACGTACACCATGGAGCGAGCGCTGATATCGGTGCCATCTGGTGCTCGGCCCTGTAGGCAGGCGAAAAACGCTCCGTCAATGGCGATGGGCGAGGAGTTAGCAGCGCTGAGCCCAAGCTTCACTGGCAAGAGATCGCTTTGGGAGAAGCCGGCGTCCAGGTACGAGTGGAGTGACCACAAGTTTGACTGCGCCCCGGTGTCTGTGATGGCTCTTGCAACACTTTTGCGGTGGGACGAGGGACCACCGCACCCATGCTTCACCATGGAGATGGCGACCTCGACGCGTGGGTGATCTGCTAGGCGGGCACGACGCCATTCATCAGCACGGAATATATGATGTTCCAGGAGAACAACCTCGGGTTTCCTGCGGTGGCGGCAGCGACGTCGTCGCGGTGACGGGGATCTGCTGCCTGGTGCAGTGCATGCCGAGACTTGAGCCACCAAGGACGAGGGTGTTGCTGCCAGCGCATTTGCCTCTGCTGCGGGTGCAGTGGCACGCTTTCTACCACGCCCCCTCCGACGGCTTGCACGGAAGCAATCGATACACTGCTTGTGGGGTTTGGAGTTCCAGCCGAAGGCGTTCTAAGTGAACAGGTAGAATACCTTGCCGCAATCAGGGCACGGCGCATGCTGCTGTCTGTCAGCCGGCAGGTGCCGGATTCCTGGCACTTTGGCGGCAACCGGTGGCGGGTCGACTTTAGGCGGCGCATTGGCGCGTCTGAATGTGGACACAGCCGAGAGAGACGACGACGATGGAAACGCATTTCGTGCCATTTCCTTGCTCTCGACGAGGGCAATGACGTCGTTCACAGCCTTCTTTTGAATATCCTCAGCGGCGAGCGCCTCACGGCGTATGTCTATGTCAGTGATGCCGGCGAGGGCGAGGGCGAGGGCGAGGGCGATGCCTGCCATCGTCACGAATCATCTCGTCTGTGTAGTCGTCCTCGATGGTCGATCCGCAGTCACACGTACATTTACTTCTAAAGCCACACGTTTCCGCTTTGCCACGAACGCGCGCCGCGAATGCGCGGAAGAGCTCGTCTGCGCCCTGTCGCATCTGTACCAGCTCGGCACGAAGGACGCCCGTGGCGACGGGGATGACGGTAAACGCGCGCATTACCGCTAGAACCTCTTCGATGGACTTGTCCATGATGGAAGGGTCTGATTTGAGGATGACGTCGGATAGGGCATCGCTCGCGCACTGGAGTAGCTGCCGGGGTGCCAAAGTGTCGTCGATCTCCGATCCACGACGAAATGCTTCCCACCGGCGCACGAAGGTGTTCCACGTCTCAGTTTCCACGCCCATGTCGATGCGGGGGCGCTCGAGTTTTGGACCTTTTGGACGGACGGTCTTCGTGGGTTGGTGCGATAGCGCATGAATATTCAATGTGGCGATGGCGATGCCCTCAGTGGTATCTTCCGTCTGGTATTCACATCCCAGGATGGGGCAGGCAACTATCACCATAGCGAAGGCAGGAAGGTGTCGCTTACATAAAGAAGAACTCGTTTCCTGAATGAAGTTTTATTTCACTAGAAAATGTAAGTGACACGCTGAAACAAATGAAAGGGAACTAATGTAAATACAGTATAACGATAACTGTCAGAATTCTTTCTCTCCGTTAATATAACTAAATGAACAATATCATAACTGTACAGTATTAATTTCCTGTTACCTGTTAGAGAACTGTATCATTTATGTTACTTTGAAATCATGTGATTGTATCTGTTTAACATCTATTTATACCAGATTTTGTTTCAACAGGAATTACGGGTCCTTTCAATAGAGTCAAATGTAAAGACATTTCACATGAAAAAAACATGGTATTCAGTGTGAAATACTGGGTATGTTTTTTCTGCTGATTTTTTACCCATTCTGTTACAAGAATTACTATTTATATATACAAGTAATAAATAATTATTAAGTAAAGCCCATACCAAACACATTGCACTAATAATTACTTAAAGCAAAAAAATTGCAGTAGCATACAAAACGAGGCAGTCATTAAATACAAATAATAAACAAAAAATTGCACTTAATGTGTGGTAATGCTGTATCAGCGACTGATGAATACAGTGTGGCCCCATTATAGCGCAATCGTTGAGGTCCTTAAACTTTCATCGCGAAAACAGCGGGGTCGTGCTAAATCTAGTTTCACCCGTCGCTTGCATTGTTTTACCTGACAAGCTGCTTTGCGATAGCTGCAACGAGATTCAAATGCGAATGAAACAATGCATACAGACATTTACACAACATGCACACAGCAGCATTGAACAAGTCATGTAAACTTATTTAGTTGCGTGATCTATAGGCGATCGTCGCTTCGACCTAGGTGCCTTCTACAACTTCCAGTGTCAATCGTTGCTCGTCGCTGTCAGTTGCGTTGCTGTCGACCTAAAGCCTAGTGCATGCCTGCGATTTTTGGTTGCTTGTCGCTGCAACCTGCAACCGCAAGCGATCGGTCGATGTGTCACCGCATGTGCGTACATGTGATTTCGAAGCAATTCTAGAGCAATTTAGGAGCGATTGGGAGTGACGAGTAAATGAGTTTGATTTCTTGCAATCACTGCCAAGTTGCATGTCGGTGTCCACTGCACTGGATATAGTGACAAGGTAGTGAGTGCCTTCAGGGAGTGAATTTTCCTAAAGTTAGTTTGCATACATGATACATGTATGTGGGAGCGAAGCCTTGGCTTGAAAGTGTCAACTTCAGTTGCTTCCACAACACTCACGGGTAGGTTATGCCGGAAAAGGAGAAGAAAGAGAGAACAGTATTAGATTTTGGGTTAGGTTTATTAGACTATAATCTAGAGAGTTAAGGTTGAGATTTGGCGTAGATTTCGTTGGACTGAATTTTCCCTATCGTCAGCAATTTGGCTACAGCTAGTCAGATAAATTCCGTGAACTCTACTAGTAAAATAACGGATATAGATATAGATATAGATGGCTCTCATACGTACAGTCTCTGGAGTGTTTGTGAGATACGTGTAAACATCAGCGAACTGCAGGTCGGGCCAAGCTGTCGGGTCATTCACCCCATAGATATCTGACACTAAACTATAAATACTATAATAATAATATACTAACTATAATACTAACACTATATACTAAACTAATGTTAGCAGGGGCGGCGCCAGGGTATTTTCTTAGGGGGGGCGAAAGCAGGGGCGTGAACAGGAGCACGCGAAGGGGCTCTCCCCCCTAATTTTTTTTAAATTAGACCCCCTCAGATGCGTTTTCTGCGCGAGCAGGAAGGGTCCAGACCCCCTGGACCGCCCCCCTGTACACGCCCCTGGGAACTGTGGACTCTGATACCGTGTGCCGCTTTCACTGACGGGGTGGCGCGTCCAGGGGAGTTAGATTCATGATTCATTCAAGCTGCGTAAGAAAATATTTTTGCGTAAATCTTGGTGTACGCAATCGACGTCTGCTTAGTTGCGTTCATCAAA